GATTTTTTTTCATGTTTTTTCTATTTTTAAATTTTATAAGCATTTTCCTTTTTTCTAATTTTAAAATTATGTGACCAGTTGTCCTTATAGATTTGGTCACAGGGCCAGTCCTAGTGGCATTAATTTAAACACTTATTTTCGGGTCCACATGGAAACCATTTCATGGAGACCACAAATCCACCTATTTTGGTAAAAGAGTGGTTTCCTTATTTTGGCGTCCAAAACATGGAGGTGCTTCTATGAGGGAGCTGGATTTTCACACATTTTTGCAATTCAAACAGTGGAGATCGGCAATCTCCCTAGAGAGACATCTTACCCAATTCAGTTACTCAAAAGAAGAAAATAATAATAATTTCTTATACGCAAGGGAAAATGACCTAAAACCTCATGCCTTTCCTCTGATTGACAATCACTGTGTTGTCATATGGCAGGAAAGCATTTGTGGTTTCCTCAATTGACACATGTCACTTACTTTATACCTAGACTATGGAGTGTATTGTATTATTTCTTTCTTCTTATCTTCATTTTTCTAGGTGAGTTAGTAGGGCATATGCCCCACTTATACATTAATCAAGAAAAATAAAACTCAAAAATAGTTATAATTCATGAAAAGAACAACTAGGTACCAATTTGTTAGGCAGAAAAAAAACAAACCTAGGTATGTGCTGAACCATATGAGCATAAAAGAATGCAAGGTCACAAATGCCTATCACTGTCCAAGTCGAGGATGGATAGTGATGTTAAGAAAGCTGGACCCCTTTAAATCATGTTATGGTTTGGTGGGCTCCACTCTCCAAAAACCAATATTGGTGATGACATTTATGACACAGCTTTTTTCGCTCACATAGGTCCTAATATATTTCCCATCATTCAATTGCTATGTGCACCTAAAATTGTGACTCTTGGCTGGGTGATGGATAGGTAACAAGATCTCTCACTTGTAACAACTGAGGACAACAAGGGGGATATACAACATAGGGATAGCCTTGTCAATCAAAGAAAACATGGGGAAATTTAAATCATTTCCCCCCGTTTTCAATAAAATGTCATCACTTTTATAAAATTAACATTCTTCTCTATGTAATTCTCTTTACCTGCCCACCTGCCAAATATTTCCTCTTTTGAAATGGCGATCATTGCATAAATCGACAAACAATCACCGATTATTTCACATAACATGCTTTAAGAGAATCATTTCCTTTCCTTTCATGACTAATTTCATGCTATCAACCAAGTACAAAAGAATTGTTTTTTGTTCAGTAATTGAAGTTGGTTAGACTTGTGAAATATTGCATTCCTCTTTTGCTTTCTTTAAAAAGTAAATCTGATTGCTTTATATTAGTACATTTGTGACGGTTTAAGGTAAATTATCATACATTTAAGCTTAAGGGGAGAAAGATCTGGGAGCATAACAGACTTTGGATTTTCCTAACTAAATCAGCAGCTAATACATAGTATTAATGGATTAGGGGTGCATAACAGGTTTGAGTTTCTCTAAGTAAATAAGCAGCTAATATAAACATTTGGTGACTGCTATCTCCATTAACATGACTACATGTTCATCATCATTTCCCCAACATTTTACATGCAATAGACATAGGTATCGGCCCATGGCTTGTGCCTTGTTACAAAATGCACTAACCTTTTGTCCATACTTTGGTCAATCTGCTAAAGAGATTGATCTGCTAAAGAGATTGACCAGATATAACACACACTTCTCAGAAAAACCAAGCATATACATTCAACCAGATATAATAGAGCTAACAAATATACAAAAACATTGTGCAGACATCAGTTTCAAAAAAAAAAAAACATTGTGCAGACAAACTTCTACTCACTGCTTGCTTGTAGTCTACTACTCTATTACATGTATACACACTTACAAATACAGAACAACTCATTAGGTTGAATGCGTTTGGACAGACGTATATGTACTTATGTCCAACTACATAGGACACAAGATCTACAAATTTCTTCTCACTAAACGTATAAAATAAACAAGCATAAAAATACTGAAACCATATTATGATATCTTACGGCATCATAAGAGATCATGTGCTGTCAAGATAACTCTGATACAAGTTTTGGATCATGCTCAAGACTAGCTTAAATTTTCATTCAATTGGCAGTTAGTGAAAAACCCATTTGTGATCTGAAAAATACTGGCAATTTTCCATTCAATCCAGTTTAACTCTATGCTGGATGAATAAATGAATCTTCAAAGGCACAACAAATGTGATAACATTTTCTGAACATCAAATCAAAGCCACATACAAAAGTCACAAACTTGGACTAATCTCTACAAAAACACATCAATGAGCACTGGTTGGGTAATACATCAAAGATGTATTTGAGACTGAAAAGGCTCTGGAAGGTTCTCAAACCCCCTTTAATCTGATAAATCCACCTGACTCGGCAACTCCTAATAAACTATATCAGTATTTAAAAACTCACCAAGTTCTTGACAACTCGCATGCTAGGGGAGACAGGGCTTGGTTCGGCAGGTTGTCAAACCCGAGTGACTCAGGCGAGTCCAAGTTGGACCGCTTAGTTTTGCAACAATGACATGAACAATCCAACCAAGTAAACAAAATTCAGAGTATAAGAATCTGGATACAAAGGGACCAAACATCACACCTGCTGCACTGATACTCAACAAAAATGCGCCGATCTACCTAAGGCTCACCAGGCCTGGAACAGAAAAACGGCGTCAGAAATCAATAGAGGAATATAGGGAAAAGCAGATATAAAAATATCACCATGAGACCTAAAAAGAGAAAAGAGAATATGAGAGAAACGAACTAGACAAAGGAAGATAAAAAAAAAGGTATGGTAACTTTTAAATAATTCAAAGGACAAAAGAATGGAAGGAACTTAACTTTTAAGACATTTAAGGGAATATGTCAAGGGAATAACTCGCAATGGAAAGAAACATAGGATCCAACGAAAATTAGGTACTTTGAAATAAAACATAATTTTCAAGAGAAAGACACCATTAGATCATTAAAAAAAAAAAAGAACAATGGAATCTAAAGAGAAAAGATTCAACAAAACTTAAATAATAATAATAATAATAATAATAATAAATCAGCAACTAATATCACCTAGAGAAAATAAAAACTAAAAGGAAAACAGAAAAAATGGGATCCAAATAGAAACCAGTAAATCACGATCGAAAGAGAAGAGTCGTAATTGTAAAAAAAAATATGATCTAAATAAAAAAATAGAGAAACAACATGTCTGGCTGTAAGTAATCAATTCTGAAGTGAATAAACAACAAGTAGGGATAACAAATAGAACAAAAAACAGCAAGATCAAAAACAGAAAATAAAAACAGCAAACGATGTTATTAAACCAAACGAACGTCAGAAACATTCCAAGTATAATAAGATCAAAGAAGAAAGAGATTAGGCAAGAAAAAAGATACAAGAAAAAGTGAAGATAAATGAGAATACCAACCGATCCACTTATGAAATGATCAAATCTCCAAAGAACAAAAAACAGAACAAGCATAGATTGGAGAGAAGGGAGAAACATAAGTTGTGAATGAGAGTATTTGGAAGTGACCTTATCGTGGGAAACTCCGCGTGCCCGTCTCAGAGAAGAGAGAGACAGAGGGGGGAAAGGCGCAACCAGATCGCCACGGGGTTTTTTCAACGTTTAGGTCTTTAAAAAAAAGTTTTAGGGCGCGTTCAGGTGTCGGCGGTGTGCACGAGTCAGAACTCAGAAGCGCTCTCGTACATACACGCGACCTCCCCTCTAAAATTGATTTGAAAGGTGGAATTTTTATTGGAAAAAGTTTATAGAGAGCGGAGGCTCTAAACGATCAGATTAGAGCTTATCTCAAAAATCTCTCCAATCGAGCAATGATTGTATGTAACCGATGTATGGTAATACGATGTAACAATTTTAAAAAAATTATTTTATGACCATACAAAAAATATATATTTTTTTTATTTTAATAAACAATCACAAAAAAAAATAAAAATAAAAGCAGTACTTTTTAATTCAATTAACATAAACAGTTCATTTTAATGAGATGTTTAGGTTTAAGCTTTAAATTTTTTTTTTCATTTTCTATTTTTATAGATGATTTTATTGTCATTAGATAAATAATATTTAAAAAAATATAGTTTTCAATTTCTAAAGAGTAAGATCTTGAAATTCACTAATTAATGGGCGAATGCACGTATGATGAATTGGCTAAATTTTAGCCCTTAGATTCTTCGGCAATCAAAGGCCGAGATTAAAACGTGCTTTATATCACTTTCAAAACCCAAAATCCATCGCCTCAACTCCCGCTCTTCTCGCCTTCCGAACCTCTCTCGTCCTCTCCTACCTCTCTCTCTACCAGCAAGCTTTCTTCTTCCTTCTCTCCCCTCACTCTCCTCTCGTCTTCTCTTCCTGTTCCTCTCCCCTCTATCTTCCTCTCCACATCATCTCCCTGGATCTTCTCTTTTTCTCTTCTTCCCTCTCCAAGCGTTCTCTCTCTTCTTTCTTCACTCACTTTCTTTTTCCATCTCTCTCATTGCTCCCAAAAAAGGAGATCACCAACAAACTCAGAAGCTCCAAATAACCAAACAAATCAAGGCTTGGTGTAGAAGGTACATTTGACTCCAAATAGCCAAATCAAGGCTTTTGGTGTAGAAGGTGGCTCAAGAACCCCAAACAAATCAGGGTGGTTTAGAAGGTGCATTTGGCTCCAAATAGCCAAATCAGGGCTTTTGGTGTAGAAGGTGTGATTTTTGTGCAGTTTTCTTGTAATTTTGCTACTCTTGAATTAGTAAATAATGAAGATGGTGGGGAATTTGTTCTTTAATTTCATTTATTTATGTAGAGATGGCTATTTACGTTTCATCATAGTATAAAGTAGGTTTTTATTTTTTTGTTGAAATTTATGGCAATGGTGGATTGATAATGGGGTTTTTCGTTCTCTCTCTCTCTGTTTGTTATTGTATTCTTAACTTTAGACTGTGATTTCAGATTATATTGGGTTGTGGCATTCTCTGCTTAGGTGAAATTTGTGGGGTTTATGCATTTGACATGAAAATCAGCAGGATTTGTGTGAAAATTTTAAGTTTATTATTTGAGTTATTTCTACTCTTTTGGTGTTGCTCATTATTAATTCCAATAATGCCTTGTTTTTTTTCCCCATAATAGAGAATCTAATTTCTTAAAAGTCAATAAAAAGGAGAAAGCCCTAACAAATAAAATGAAAACCCTTGAAAATGGAGAGATATAAAACCTAGAAAGGAAGAAAACTAATTTCTTAGATGTTAGTAAAGTAAATTTCTTCCTTCATTGCTTCTTGTTTTCAAATTAATTGTATGGGTTTCTTCTTCCTTTTTTTTTTACCTGAGCCTCTTTCAAAACGACAAGTGTAATAGAATTGTGTTCAATAGTGTACTTTTTCTTTCTCCTGCTATAGCAAACTGTCTACTTAGTACCTCGGGAGAAACCCAACAACATTTTTGTGGATTTAAAATTTTGGGACCTACTTACGAATCATCATATGATTGTCTTCAGATAAAAAACTATATTTGACATATTTTTAATACTTAGGATTGATTGTTCGAAATGGATGGTTCACCAGACTTGTGTTATTAACAGGAGGAAGAGATAAATTGAAGGGACTTGTAGGAGAAAGAAACCCAAGTCTGTGTTTCTTTCACTGATTGTTGTGGTTTCGGTGGCAGTGTTGCTTTACTTGTTTTGCTTATGAGATTGTAAAGGATTGAAAGGTTCTTATCTACCTATTTGCTGTGAGTGCTAAACATGCGTTCACCCACACACACAAAATTCTGAGTCTTGGCAAATCACTTGGTCTTGGCAAATCACCATAGTTTTTGTGGCAGTATTTGGTTGTTTTGCTCAGTAGATTATGGAGGTTTGTGAGGTCCTCAACTACTCTTGAGATATCAAAAAATCATGGTTGATGCTAGCCGCACAAAAGACGGATAGATATGTAAACCATTGGTCTAGATTTGACATTTTTTTTTGGGGTCGCCATTTAGACTATCGGGCTGTCAGTGTAAACCCGAAGTCATTGCAGTAGATGTTCACATGTTGATAGCTATTTGGAGTTCAAGTGGCTAATATATGGAAGTGAGTATTGTCAAGGATATCAACAAGCTTAAATTGCTAGCCAATGTCTCCTTCCTTCCAAAAGAAAATGTCTGTTTCCTTCCAATAAAAGGAGAAATACAAATCTCTCTCTCCTTCCTCCTCGGATGCTTTGTGCATACTTACACGCCAATTTCTCAGTTCTCCTTTCTAGATCATTGAATACCTCTCATGTAACTTTGTCACCACCACCACAAACTCAAAATCCTCTAACAACTGTCACACACAAGCACTATGAGAATGAGCATTGCTCTAATATCAACTAATGATGGAAAACCCTTGAGCTCTAATACCACACAGGGAAAACAAAACCCAAGATTTAATAAAATGATTGAAAAACTTAAAGAAGCTTATAACCCTTGGACATATGAACTTATTATGGAAACTATGTGGTATGATATGGCTTCATGATTTTAAGGTTTTCAGTTTTGGTTGCTACTAACAGCAACTTACTATATTCCTCTTTAATGATATATGCTTATTTAATCGCATTCTCTCCTCAATAAGTTTTCATGGTCACAATAAATTCTTTAGTTTGTCTTGTATTGAAGTTGCTTTATTGGGGCTTTAAATCTTATTCCATTTTGGCCTTTTATTGATTTTGTGATGGTTAAAGTGTAGTTTTCTCAGTCTTTAATATGACTCAGTTTTAGTATTTTCCATCGTCCATGTAAAATCATATGATTTGGGGCAATCCTATAATTCTAACCCAAGTTATTTGGTTACCAAGATTTTTTTTTTTTTCTTGATTTTATGTCATTATGCAGGCTATTTTGTATGGAATGATCGTACTTTGCTGCATTTGTTAGAGGGAAACCGGCTATCATGTTTTAATGTGTAATACATTTGTAATCGTTCCATATGGTGCAGTTTGTGTTATACCCTTGGAATTGCCCATTTGGTTCCATATTGTACCTCTCTCACCCTCTGTCAATTGCTCATTTTCCTTTTCAAAATCGATACGATTGGGTGCTATTATCATCCCTTTTGAAAGTAATCCACAACTGCATGTCAGCAACAGTGCATTGATTTATTTCTATTGGAGGTCTTTGTACCTAATAACGTTGGTTTCGTATCTGTAATATTTTGTAAACTAATTGCAATTTTAGGTTCAGGTTATTATGTTTTCTAGTTAATTGATTGCCTTGTGTTATACTTGAGGGTACAAAAGCATTTGTAATTTTTGACTTTTCTGGGGTTCTTGAGTTAGAATTTGACAATTCTTTTTAGCCGATGGGCTTGTTATGGATAGTTTACTAAAAAAGCCCATTTAGGGAGATAAATCTTTTGTTATAAATACTTTGGTGAAGTAATGAATATTATTTCCCCCCATAGCTGATCTTGGGGAGATAAATCTTCTGTTATAATGTAGGTGAGAACAGTTTAATCCCCCCAGAGCTTATTGAGAAGCGTGTAGCTCCAAAAAACCACATTCCAATTTTTATGTCTCATACTACTACAAATTAGGATGGAACTTTTGAATGAACCCTTAATAGGTTGATACAAGTAAACGAAATGTTGATATGATTGATATTGTTGCGATTTGTTGATCACTTGATTGCTCTTGGTTACTCAAAAGTCTCTCGCCTAGTTATCTTTCAGATAAAACCCCTAGGTCCTCACAATTCATGATTCTCTCCCACAGTTATCTTTTGAGATGGATGAGTGGTGATGTAAGGAATGATAGAATTTGGTGATTCTAGAAAGTATATTGGAGCATAGCCTATAATGATGTATGCAATGAATGTATGGTGTTGGATGATTATATAGAATACAATAAATCTGTTGTTTTCCTATAATAGGATGGACCCCCACACATCGTCAAGTACGACTAATGATAATATGGGAGGTAAGAGAAATTTGCAATGGATGCAATCAAAATAGGACTATTGGTGCATGGGGACGGATGGTAGAAGCCATGAGAACCAAATATGGGGCAACAAATATCGGAACCAGGCTAAAGAGAAAGCATAAGTACTTTAGAACCATATATGGTCACATAAAAAACTTATGGCTGTATCTGGTTTCAGATGGGGATGATACAAGGAGGATTGTAATTGCCGAAGTTGGAATCATTTCCTATCGGTATGTAATTACTCATTTGCATAGACTTTTAAAATGTTGGGCTAATCAATTCTGTCAATCTCTAGTGCTATTGATGGCAGTTTCTGATAAGGCGTTTACTTGAGAAATCATACCTCATTGGAATTAAAAAACTGTAAAAATTTTGTGGAAAACATAAATATAAAGGAAAATATATTGGGAATAATGTACAAGCTAACTTTAGATGTTTTCAATGCTTACAATTCAAATTCTACACATGTTTTGTTGTAAATTATGCAGCATAGTAAATTATGCAGCATAGACCTTACTCATTGAGAAACAATGCAACATAGGCATAGAAAGTCGATCATGTTTCTCTTTAAATTGTCTAGGTGATATAGATCTGCATTCTCGTTGTTGTAGAACTTGGTACTGGATTGTACTTTGAGCTTCCAATGATTACTAAAATTCATTGTGATACTTTGTTTTAGCTTTCTCTGCATTTTCTCTAATTATGTTTGAGCTATAATGCCTTCTACTTTTTATTATTTATTTATGCTTAATATTTAGTGCCATCTAGTTTAAAGAAATCAACCTAACGAGGCTTTATTATGACTGCCAAAGATTACAATAACAATATGAGCCAATGGAACCCTGTAGAGGAAGCCAATTCATTGATCTCTTGTTGAAAGATGTCAAGAAAGGGAGGGGCTTCATGAAAGGTGCATGGACCCAATGTTTTTTCTTTCAATCTAAAAATCTAACAAAATGTTGCGGTTGTCCAAATGGTTCAAAGTCCATTCCACAAGATTTTCAGATTGCAATACAAAAATTTTCCAATTTTGGGTACATCCAAAATGGCACTCAAAATATCACCTTGCAGTACCCATCACCCAGACCACCTCTGCCTGGATCCCATTCTCTGAAAGAATTTAATATTTCCTTAATAAACCCTGTCAAGATGATTATTTTTCTATAAGCAGATTGCTCTTTAAAGGTGGTGTGGTTGCAAGCTCAACAAGAGCTAAAGGAACTCCACCAGTGGTTGGATGGAAGACCAACAGCACCTTGAAGGCATCATTGATACTCCATTGTGCTGCAGTGAGGTTACTAATCATGACTAAATTTAGAGGAAGGCCATGGGTAAAGAGACCCCATGACTCCCTCAACATTATTAAGGAAGGACAAAATTATCAACGAGATAAGAAATGACGGCAGAGAAAACATCAGCCAGCAATATATCCACCAAGCAAAAAAGTTCTAGCCACTTAGTACACTGGTCTTGTGGTGTAGTGTAGGGATTGCATAATTTAGTACATCATCACCACAATGGTCTCAAATGATGCCATCTTCATCCGTCATGGTATATACTATGGAATTTGATAGTGGAATAAAAGCACCCTCAGATTTAACAAACATAGGGAACTCACTTGACTTGACAATCTCCCTGTTGGCAAGCATAACTTATGGAAACCATCAAACTGTATGTTTGAACTCGAATCTTCAACATCAGCAAAACCGTAACCAATGTGATCCTGTAATTGTGGTTAGGAATGTTAGGATCAGTATTTTTTTGAGCATAACATCTAGTTTTAGGATATTACTGAAAGAACAGAGAGTTAGATGTAGCTAAGAATGTTAGCACCATTATTTTTTTGAGAATAACATCTGGTTTTAGGATATTATTGAGAGAACAGAGAGTTAGAGGTGTTTGAAACCGAGACTCACTCGATTTTCCTTGTTTTGGTGAACCCCCCACTACAACAAATCCAATACCTGGAAACCAATATGTCTATCACCGGCAAATCGATTTCAAGAAATCCAAACACCCAAGAACTGTATCTTGTATAGTAAATTTGGGAAAAATAGAAGGAAATTAAGAGAAGCAAAAATAGGAAAGCTAAAACCAATGTCGCAAAAAATGTCGGGAGGCTCCTAAGCGGCCAAAGGTCCAGGCCATCCAGCACCTAGGCAGGCACCTAGGTAGCCACCCAGAACCTGGGCAGCCTAGGTAGAATAAAAAACATTGAAGATCCAAGTGTTAGGGGCCGATTCTATGTAAAAACTAAAAAAATGCACTATATAACACATTTCAAATTCAGGGTTCAAACTTCAAACCATTAGACATTAGACCATACTCCATAGTCCATGCCATTGTCCAGACTCCATGCACTCTATTGTCCATACACATAGTAAACATAGGAAAATATAATCCAAGACATTGATTCATCATCAATATAATCATAGCCGGATGAAATACTGGTTAGGCTCAAGAGCTGAATGGTCAACTTTTGTAAGTTTGGAGCACTACACCCATGTTGGCTCCGCCAATTGGCTGCAAATTGATTATGAATTACAATTATATATGAAATATAAATACAAACAGCAAACATGAAACTTGAACTTGAGGATTGGGTTAAGTATATTATTACATATATCAATTTTGGTCCTTTCACTCAACGTTATTAGACTCCCAAACAATATCAATACGCACTTCTAACTTACTAGCTCATCAGCGTATATAATGTATTGGATATCCTGATTAGGGACTAGCACATCTAGACACTTATTAAATCCCGTCATAATTGCATCATTTGTGTATATATCCCTATCAGGATAATCAAAAGCTGGGTTAAAAAAATAACCATTTCTCATCAATAATCTTCGAAACTGGCTCATAGCAGCTCACATCATCATCCAAATTGAGAGCTATCTCTCTTGTAACTTTCCATTGCCTCATATAAGTGGCCCATGAAGGGTTGCCACTGTCAACCATGCGAAAGATTTTTGACAAGAGAAAAAAATACCTTAAGAGTGCCCTTCACCCCTCAACAAAAGCCTTAGAAAAAACAATATCTCTCTCACCTTCTTCCCATTTTGAATCCTGCCCTACTTGCATGCTCTCCAACCATCAGAGGTAAACATCTCTCAATCCTTGAATGTATGATATTTAGGCATAGGTACTAGGTAGCAAATCTTGTGATCCCGAACCTCACAATCTCCTTCTTCTTTGTAAATACGCTCCTCATGCTGAGAATGAAGGTGCGAGTACAAATGAGTCATAACTAACCTATCCTTTCTAATTGCACCTGCAATCTCACTCAAACCGCCAATAGTCTCAAGCATGAGGTCTATATATTGTGCTGCGTATGGTGTCCAAAAGATACTAAAGCACAATAACTTAGCAACAACAACATTAGGAGCAACATTATCAACCTATATAACATGTTGCTCCCTAACCTCCTTGATGCCCTTTCTCCATTACTTTAAATTTGTAATGGGTATCATAACTATCATCAGAGGCATCAATAGACCTTAAAAAAACAATCCCTAAAGGACAATTCACCGACAAATTCATCTGACTTCTTCTCTTCTTATCACTCCAAGTATCAATCAAAATAGAACCTCATACTAAGCCATGCATCCTTTTGTGACTCCACAATCTCCCTCGTGACATTCATCTCTTTCTTTCAAAGAAGCTCTGAAAGCTCATATGGGGTTGGAGGTTTCAACCCATGCCTAAATTGGCCAATTGCCTCTCCTAAGGTATAGAAGTTGCTTAGGTGAGCGGCATTGAAAGGCATGCCTTATAAAACCACCTAGCAATGTATTGTACAATTCTCTCTCTCTCTTCCTTATTCTCAATAGTTGTTTGCTTCTTTGTTTTCTCACCTGGAACCTCAGGGTTAGGCCCGTCTCATAACCCCAGGCCTCTTAGGCCCCCCACCTTAGAACCAATTACAACTCCCTATCTTTTACCCCTAGTCTGGGACATAACAAGTTGTCTCACCTCTTCACGCCCCTCCTGATTACTATCATTCTCATCATAATTAATACAAACTCCAAACATTAGCTCTGTTATGCTTGCCTATCTTTCCTCTTTTTTATTTTTTAATATATTCATATAATTTTGTAACTCCTCAATCACATCAGGAACTTTTTTACCCAAGGCAAAATCCCCCTTGATACCGGCAATATGTTTCTTGAACCAGTTTAGACCCCCATTTTGTATCTTTCTCACAATAATTGCATTCTATGCAAGTTTTATCTAAAGGATTTGGGTTATAGCCATATTTACAACCCAATTACCACTTCTATCAGATTCCAAAGGCATCTCAATTAATCCAAGCAATGTAAAAACAAAATTTTTCACTAACCTTGATTGCTCAATCTTCAAACTTCTACTTTTGAGATGTTTTTCAATCTCAAAATCTTCTAGAAAACCCTCTAATAGTTCTAAAAAATCTCCAAAACTAAACCTAAACTCAATGGGTAATGTTTAGATAGATTTCTCATAACTTTGTGAAACCCTTCAATTCTATGGAAATCACAAGATCTCTTCTTCTTTTTCTTTTTTTTTTCTTTTATATTTCTTTATGTTCTTTTTTTTTTATGTATTTTTTTTTGTTTTTTTTTTTTTATTGTTTTTCTCTCTCTAAAATGGTTCAAATGGGGTTTAGGCTGCATATGGACCTAAACCCCATTTTTTAGAAGCTTAAAATAAATGTCCTAAAATGCCCCTCAATGAGAGGCATTTTTGCACCTGAGCAGGCCGCAAGCCCTAGGTGACAGCCCAAGGCTAGGCGCTAAGCGCCTGACTAGGTGAGGTCCCAGGTGCCTAGGTAGCCGCCCAATGATTCCCCACCCAAGATGGCCACCTAGGCTTGAGTGATGCTCCCTGACCCCCTGGCGGATTTGAGGTGGTGAATTTTTTAAGGTGGGCTCTAGTTTGATTGTTTAGAGCCTCGGCTCTATATAAACTTTTTTCAAAAAATAATAGTAGAATATATTAATAATAAATATTATAATAGTATAATAATATGCATAATATTAATATTTATTATATATTATTATAAAAAATAGATAATGATAGCTTTATTGTTATTATTATTAAAATTAGAGATTATTATAGTTTGCCTTCTCCGTGGGTAGAGCCATCTCTAGAAAATTTGTATTCTACCTGTTTTGGTGGAATACGTATCTCAAGGTTTTGACTTCAAAACATGGATACAGTTAGTCATGTCAAGATTAAATTCCATCTCCAGATTGCATCAAATTGTAGAAATGCACAGTCTATGGAAATGAGTCCCCAAAGACCCGTTTCCAGGTTTCCAAACGGGCCTTAGGGTGCTTTTGTTTAATAGGCGTCAGCTGAAATTTCTAAATGTTTTTGCTCCATGGGTTATGGAAGGGGGCAGGAGAAAATGGATTTCGCCCTTCCGTGAATCCTGTGGGGCAAAACATTTAGAAGTTAAAACTTCCACCAATCAAACATTTAGTAGGTTCTTGATGTGAAATTTTTTGGCTCACTCTAAAGTTTAAACTCGCAAGATGAGTATTTCCTAGACCTAAAAAACAATAGAAAAAACTTCTTTAACTGGATTGAGGTGCACCTCACTATATACAAACAGATAGAAATGGGGACTATATTGTACTCTTGCATTATGCCAACCCCACTCGAAATCACTTGAAAGGCCATTCTGCTTTCCCTCTCTATGATTTGCATTCTCATTTTCCCACTGCTCGTAGTTTCAGACTTTCAATTTTCAAGGTTTTGAGGGTACAGCCATGGAAATAATGGGAAATTTTTTTATTTTATTTGGTGAAATATTCATATTCATGAGTGATCTACGTTGATCAACTCTTATCATTCTGTTCTGTGACACTGTGATTTGATTTACAAGCGGGTGGATTTGAACACTTGCAGGTTCTGGAGGGTGGAAGCAAATAGGGTTCCAAATTTGTAAGTTTTTCAATCTCTCTCTCACTCTCTCTCACTCTCTCTAGGCTATTTTTATGATTTTCTTTTATTGTTGGTCATCTGTTTGTCGAATTTCTCCCTCCTAATGTTTTGTAGGTTTTCTTGCTCTTAGATCATTTTCTCTCTCCATCTGTTTCTCTCTGAAAACAGCCTCTCAAACCCATGTCTTTCCTCCATAGGTGACTATGCCAATGCTATGGCTTTGCATGACAAGAACAGTTCAAGCTTTCTCTACTCTTTCTTCCTTCCCCTCCCAACCCAAAGAAAAAAAAGGAAAAAGAAAAAAAAGAGAAAAAAAAGAGAGACCTAGATTTGGCCTGACATGAAACTAGAAGCCCTAAAATTTATGAATTCTGATTAATAGCAAGGCCCCAGATCCTAGATTTGTGGTGCCTGCACAAGTTGGTGTTTTTCCAGTTGTTTTTTCTTAGAATTGTTTTAGATTTCATTATGTTCACATGTCATTTGCATTGATTCTTGCATGATTTGGCAATTTGTTGGGTCTATAGATATGCAGGATTTTTCTTTCTCCTATGTAAATTGTGTTGATTCTCACTGGATTATTCCAAGCACTAGATTCAGTTTTTATAAGGGAAATATCTTGGGTTTCGTAGTTTGTAAGATTTTACCAATCTTTGGATGTTGTAACTGATGTGCACCATGGATGTATTCTCATATTTGTTGATTTAATCAAATGTTTTGGTGCATCATTAGCGTTTTTAGCTGTTGTAATATGCGTAATACACTTTGTCATGAAGAGTGCCAACAATTGGATTAATAGGAGTGCATATTGTCCCATGAAGTTGAGTTGTAAATCAACCAAGATGTGAAGAAGTTTTCCTATTCTTTTTAGGATATTGGCAATCTTTTGACATTTAAATGGAATTGTTTCCAGTGTATTTGTTCTGCATGCATGTGCACGTTTCTTGAAGCCTCTATTCTTACAACTTGTTTTCCTGGGTATTTGGCCTATTATTATGGATATTTCATGAGAAGTTTGTTTCCACTGGTATGCTAACCTATAGAAGGTCTTTGAACTGTGCAAGAAGCTTTGGAAAGTTTGTAGTTTGCAGCTGGAAAGAGGTAATTTGATTTTTCGGCAAAGGAAAATAAATTGAACAGCTTTGCTTGCTAATGTCTCACTATTATGACATTGATGACATCATTGTGGATGAAGAGGTAATGGAGTTTCTTAATTTTATCTGCATATCTTTTTTTTATCTGCATTTTTTTTTTCTCGAGCTTACCATCCAAAATATTATCTGCTTTGCAGCTCGTTTCAGTTGTATTTCAAGTGACAGCAAATGGGGTTGGACTTCTAGATCCTGGATCAGAGACTAATAGTGTAGGGTATATTTTTTTTTTGTCTTTTATCAGAGGGTAATAACTTAATTTGGGTTGATATACAACCATTAGAGAATTATCTTGATCGGTCTCCACTAGTTGTCTAATGATTGAAATTGCATCACTCAGGTTGAACAAGGTGCGAAGATTGATGTGACCTTCTGGCTTGCTCAGGAACTGTATTTGCGAGAAGCAGCCTCTATTAATTTGCCTATGCATTTCAATCAAAAGTGAGAGCTCTCATATCCACTTAATTAAATAATGATTGGTACAAGTTACCAGATACGACAAGATATCTCATCAAATTATTTACGTGTTCTTATAATGGAGTGTTTCTGACATGATGAGTAGGACAAGGAAGGAAGTCCAGGCTGATCCTGAGTGCGTGGATCTGAGGAGTCGGTGTCCTTACTTTTACGAGTTAGGATACAAGATTGCGCCCATGTAAGTTGTTGCCTATCCTGACCTCTACCTTCAAGTATTTATCACTATTTTGAATTTCAAAATAGTGTATGTTGTCTTGTGAGGGTTCAATTAGAGAATATTTAATTGCTGCAATTTAAATGTGCTTAGTCAATATATCTGTTGATGGGAAGTTATACTTAGGACAGGATCGTCTTACTCTTTGTTGATGGGTAGGGTTGCTGATAAGGAGCTTGGGACCTTCATCTCATTAACATTTAATGGGAGGTATAAGGAAATCTTGAGCAAATCTCATGGGGCTGCATTTGCCGCTGTTCCCAAGTTTCTGCCTCGTCTCACCAAAGAAGAAACCAATTGTGAGTGAAGTTGCCATTTGTTCAATTTGAACTTTCTTTGATTTCCGTGGCTTCAGTACTTGTTTTGTTCCTCTTATATTATAATTGTCACTTGTGACTAAACTGAGGAAGGAACATGTTGGTTGTTTATTTCAGTATACGAAGCAGCTCGGAATTCAATGATAGCATTCAAGGAGTGGAGATTAGGGGTATCAAGATTGGAGGGGGCGTCAGTGCTTGGAAGGAAAAGGAAACCAATAATCGGTGAGATGCATGGACCAACCCCATGATTTGTATACTCTTTCTGCAAGCTTTATATTCAAGAATGTGAGAAATTATCCATCTTCTTGGTTGTGCTGTTCATGCTTGAGGCTTGGCATGTAAATCCTAAGTGAAAAATGTGAACTAACTAGCCATGGATTTGTTTTGGGATGTTTCTTTAAGTCTCATGCAATTTGCGAACTTTTGTAATTTAGTGAAATATCAATATTGCTGATGTTCTTGAGTAGGATTAGTCTTTATAGTTATCACTGAAATTTTAGTAGTAATTGACTAATCTGGAACATATGTGATCGTGAAATTCCAAATCAAGAAACATAGCTCAACAATATAATTTTAAATATGATGGCATTGTACTTTTTGAAGTCTAGGCAAAGCCTTGTATTACTGGGGCTACTTTATGTATTTTGGACACTTGAATTTGCTGAGGTAGTCACAGCTTCATTTATGCTTTTCATGGAGTTTTGTATTGGGATTTTTTTTTTTTTAAATCATTTCAAAATCTGTGACAAGTTTTTTTGCAAGGTGCGATAGTTACTGCCCTTCATATCCGCTGGGTCTTTCAGGTTGGTTGGCAATGATGATACCTACAAGCTTGCCAGATTTTTCTTGTCTCATATGCTTGCTACAAACTTGTCAGAATTTTCTTTCTTAATCAGCAAAATTATGACTTGTGACACTCAAGACAAGTAGATCAAAGTGAAGCAAAAACAAGAAAATGGAAAGTAAATGATAGAAAACAATTAGTAAAGACTACACTCTTAATTTGAAAGGATGTATTATTATTAGTTGGACTACATGCGTAGTTTAAAGGACATAATAATAAATAAAGACAAAGAAAGTTATAGAGTCTTTGCTGGCCCAAAAAGTATCATGCTGTTATGAAAGTCATAAGGCATGCATTATGACTGTAACTTTTATATTTGGCCATTCAAAGCACACGTAGAGGAAAATGGATACCTCATTTGTAGTTGGTAAAGTGGTTTGTGCGTTGGGGGACGAATAACTACGTATGCCCTGAGATATCCCACATCCATCTTTAAGATGGATGTGGGGTTGTGTTCTCGCCGAAAAAAGGTAAAATAAGTTTGAAAGTATTTTAAAAAATTATTATTTTTAGTTTTTAAAATTTATTCTTTTTAACACATTCACATCCTCCATGATGAGATTATATATACTTATAAAATTAGGTCCAAAATCTATCCCAAAAATGTGTCATGAAGAAGGGACATATCTCCATGTGAGTCCTAGGACTCATAAAAACCATCCTTTGTAGTTACATATGGACCACACAATTTTGTGAGAGAGAGAGAGAGAGAGAGAGAGAGAGAGAGAGAGAGAGAGAGAGAGAGAGAGAGAGAGAGAGAGAGAGAGAGAGAG